AAAAATTTAATATCTTACTTAAACCTTAATGGGGAATTAAACGACATGGTGTTTTGGGCACAGAAGTACATTATGTTTTTTGGGGCTCAGCATCTAAACATGAAAGTATGTCCAACGGTCCTGCATTCGAACCCGGGACCTTCACCTTACAGTGATGAGCGCCGTGTCAACGCTTAAAACGTTGCGGCCACCTACGCCCCCGTTATGAGCGTTTATTATTTCAGAAAACAGGATAAAAGCCAGCCAAGTGGATTCGACCAAACCTCGTTCTCGATTCATGCCGTAATTACATATTTTATTCACCCAGCCCGCTCTAACTTTGCTAAATCTATACTTGACCAGTATGATCTAATTATATAGACTGATAGTCTGTTAATTCTCAGATGGAAAGTTTGACTTGGCGAAACGTATCTGTCATTTCCAGACTATAAATTAATAATTCCATATATTGTAAAATATATTATCAATAAATAAGAACTTTTGTGAGGAAATAATAACCTTAGATATATTCGCTCAAATGATTCCATTAACCACACTATTAGCAAGATATTATTTTGCAAATTATATTGATGTTGATACTACAATATTTTTACAACTTTATGAAAACAAACTTAGCTTCAGCAGTTCAAAATAAAAAATATCACGAATGCAAATACCTAGGTCCAAATTACTTAATCTATAATGTGCAAATATTAATACGATAAAAAACAGAAATTAGCAATTTTATCTAGATGGTTGTAATTGTCTATATACTTGTTCTAAAAAAAATCTATTTTTCAACAATGTAAAAATTGTGAAATTGCTAGAGAGCGAGAGAGACAGAGAGAATGAGAAAGGTTGGAAAAGAGAAAAAGTTAGTGAGTGTGAGCTTTTAATAATAAAGTAAAATTTGAATTAATTTTACTTTTTAACTTCACTAATTTCGTGGTCCGCTTGACCAATTAATACATTACAATTAATTAAGGTTTTTAATTGAGATGAAAAAAGTTAATGGCACGAGCGGGATTCGAACCCACTATCTTCGGCTAGATACGCCGCTGCTCTACCACTTGAGCTATCGTGACCTCGATTTACTTGGACATCAACTTCCTACCTCAACCCCACCATTTGAAAAAGGAGGGAAAACTCATAAGGAAAAATTCGAACGGATATAGGTTGAGATGGAGAGGTGGTATCCGAGTGGATCAAAGTCACGATAGCTCAAGTGGTAGAGCAGCGGCGTATCTAGCCGAAGATCGTGGGTTCGAACCCCGCTCGTGCCATTAACTTTTTTTTCATCTCAACTAAAAACCTTAATTAATTGTAATGTACTTATTAACTAAGATTTTTGGAAGAATAATTAATTGGAAAAAGTAATATGGTCAGTTATGACCACTAAACAAATGTGCAATAAAGTAAAATGTTGAACCCTCCATGAACAACGTCTGAAAAATGGCAAGATTGAATGTAGGTCATATTTACCAAGTTTTACGTCGGAAGTAATAAACCTTCGTAGGGTCCTGTTTCCGTGGGAAAATTTGAATAAATTAACTACTCGCAATCTCATTGATTTTGTACAGATATGAGACTGAGAAAATTATAAAATGTAATAATGAAATCACATCTTTGTAGCGTCTGCACTTGTTTAATTGTATAACAATAAAGAGGAAAATTTCAGAGATACGAGACTTAAACTTATTCCTAAATAATATGTGAATTGCTCACCCGTAATAATTACTCTCAAAACCGTGCGTGTAATTAATTGTTTAACGATAAAATTGGGCAGGTGGCGTAAAGCTCACCAGACAGAACGTGTTTAGTAAAGCGTAACTTTTTAAGTATACTCTAGAGTATGATCATTGTTGAAAATATTTCTAAAAACATAGAGATAAAAATATTAATTGCTATATTGTTGTCATGAATCGTAACACCAGGAATATTTCAATAAACTAAGATATATCGATGTTAAGCTCGTTTGGGTCCGTCTTTTTTCGCTGGTGCGTTGGGTCAGACAGGGTGGTTAGAGATGGTTTACTCAACGTGATACCTCTGCTTTCTTGTTAAAATCTTTTACAAACGAACCTGCATAACAAATGAAAGGAAAAAGCGAACAAACGAGACGTAAACGTATGTCAGAAATTAAAAAAAAAACCAATTCCCAAAACACTACCTTCCTAATGTCGTGTTAAATTCAACTTAATCAAAATGTCAACAGACGTTTCAATAGAAATGAAACATCATTTGATTTGCACACCATTGAATGTTTTTTCGTATATATATTGTTCTAAATGACCTATTCATTTCTAATCAGCAACCGTAAATCCGGCAATTTCCAGTGTTCTACGATATAACTCGATGCATTTTCTTTCAGTTATTAAATATATACAGGGTGAATTGCTACTCGTGCTACAAACTTCTCCAGTAGATTCTTCACCCTAAAATGAACAAAAAAGTTCATATTGTCCATGGTCCGATTCTNTGAGAATCGGACCATGGACAATATGAACTTTTTTGTTCATTTTAGGGTGAAGAATCTACTGGAGAAGTTTGTAGCACGAGTAGCAATTCACCCTGTATAATAGTAAATATATGTATATAATAAGTCGCGTCATCATAAAGCCACTCAATTCATAAATTATAAATGTGATCAACATTTGTCTTGTTCTATCGTTCAAAAATTCCCGGACATACTATTACTAATTAGAAACCATAGAGAAAGTAGTACAACCACATCCCTCACAAGCTGGTCATCCTTCAGAAGTCTAGTATATCATCGAAAACAGTCCCAAAAAAAAAGTCCCTGGATACTTCAAAGAGAGAAATTTGAAAAAATTGTAGGTTCAGACGGTGAGCTGGTGTTTCGAAGGATCGAAGAAACGATAGCTTAAGTAGTTAGATCAGCGGCATATTGAGGTCGTGGGTTCGAGCCCCGTTCGTGATATTAATTTTTCACTTCAACCACTTGACCTAAAAATAATTAATCATTGTAATTTGTATTCTAACTGCAACATATATATTTTGATAATCTTTTTTAATTAATCAAGGCTGATAGATATCTAAAAAACAACAAAAGTAGAAAATAAATTTAGCTATGAAACAATCTGGTTGAATGCACATGTAAAAGTGTAGGTAAAATTCAATTTAATAATTACCCATTTCAAAAGAGCGCATATAATTGAAAACCTTTTCTCGTATCGATGTACTTCTAAGTTTACATATTTAGTGAAAATACAATTATGTTAAGTATATATAATCTTTTTAATTGAAATTGTAATAATTCAATCAATCGCATTACAGCAGGCTGTGTTATAATTTTGATAGCATATGAATAATGTTTTTATAATATGTTTTATTCAAACTGTCGACAGATTATTTTAGGGATTTCATCAGAATTTCCCTTTCATACACTCTCTTTCACTCACTCTCCCATTGTTTCTCGATTTTACTTCAAGAAATTATGGATTTGATGTAAAATTTTGAAAAATCGTTAATAAAAAGACAGTTTATATATTGCATATTAAGTTTAACATGTATTTGTAAAGAGGCATTGATGAACACTTGATAGCGAATAAATTTGATGATTTTTTAAAATTAATTAGGAATATTGGCGTCTGCATTACTAAAAGGAAAGACAAACGTCCCAAATGTAAATCGCATTGCTAGCCTTATCAACTGAACAACCGTTATCCGCCCGACTTTAAGTATTCAACGTCAAATTATTTGTAATTATCGGATTAGATTGGCACGTAGCCTATATACAATTTAACACGCTCTGTTATGCAGGTGCGGTATCCCCATTGGCTTAAGCCAATCATACTGAAACAAGAGGAGCCCATACGAGTTTTGTATAAAACATAACTGTCTAACCTGCTGTTCTCAATCAGTGGAAATTCATTCAACTTTAACTGCTCAATTGTCACAGGTCGTATAGGAAAAAGGTGTAAACATTTTTTTTTCCTGTTCTGTTACAATTCTTATGCTTTAAACCTTATAATTACCTAAACTAAAAACTAGTAGAAAGTGTGTGGTCATTAGTGACCGTTAGTCGATGATTACTAAGAAATCGTGAGATGCGGTCTGTGTGATGTAGGTTTCAGAAAAACATTTTCTTTATCGTGCTAACGTTTCGATCTTTATTGAGACCATCTTCAGGGCCTGGGATTTACGAACATTGTTTAAATTTAACAAATACATGTAGGATGTGGACAAAAGTGAATTTTACAATGCAAATTTTTTTTTATATATTCAATCAAAGTATTTCTACATACTCAATTTTCTGCGTAACATATTGTGTAACATATTATAACATATAAAACATTTATGGCATTCCACACATCAAACATTTTTACATAGACTAATTTTTCAACAATTTAGATTTCCTTTTTCTATTTATCCCCGTCTTTATAATCCTCAAAAGATACTCTGGCCGAACCATTACTAACGTTTTTCCCATCGTCGGTTCTTTTCACCTCAAAGAAGCCGACTCCTTGTACAAAACTGTCTTCCTATACCGATTTTCTTCCTCACCCCTTCAAAATCCAACGTATATAAACATAAAACAGCAAAATCTCACTGGCACTCTCAACACGACTCGCAAGAATCGCACAATTACACAGAAAACAAACGCTTTGAGTGAGTAAAAATTCTTTGATTGAATATAAAAAAAATATTTTTTGCATTGTATAAATTCACTTTTTCCCACATCCTACATGTATTTGTTAAATTTAAACAATGTTTGTAAATCCCAAGCCCTGAAGATGATCTCAATAAAGATCGAAACGTTGGCACGATAAAGAAAATGTTTTTCTGAAACCTACATCACACCAGACCGCATCTCACGATTTCTTAATAATCACTACTAGAAAGTATGTAAATGTGAAGAAATTTTAGCAGCAGTTTATTATGAACTTGGTTTTAATGCGACAGTAATAAATTAACGTATTCTTGTTATCATATCAAACTTTCAGCCTTAGGACATTCCATTTTATTTTATTTATTATCTTTCTTTCTTGTGTTTTTAGAAATTCGTCACCGAGGGCAGCATTGTCAGAGAATGCGCAAACGAGTGCTCTGAGAAACGTAAGTAATACTTTGTTTACCTTTTCAATGGTTAGTGTGCGGTTACATTGTTTATGTAATATACGTTGTTGTGACTTGTATATGTGCTCAGTGACTTTTACAGTTGTCAAATTGATTCAAATAATTCTTTGAGTCGTTTTTCTCTATGGTCTACGTTTTAATTTATTTAAGATTTTCTAGTATACGAAAGTTTTTTAACCTGTAATCTGTAGTTATAGTTAGAGTTTATTGAATAATAAAAAATAATTGTTACATTACAATATTTGTTTACAAGTTATTTAAGTGAATTTATAAACAGAAGGTTTCATAATTTAAAAAGAGGCCATTGTCACTCGAAGAAGGATTTGTTGCTTCAAAATAGTTCAGCATAAAATGTTATAATAATAAAAGGAATTTAATTTCTGATGAAAAATATATTTCAGCCAAATAAACCAATATTTCATTGTTAAGAAATGGACTTTTTTCAGTACGCAATCACTTTCAACTAACTAACAAGTGAGAGTGAAAAAAAATATATTCGATTAAAACCATGAGTGGAAAAACCACCCTTGGCAGTACACCACTACAATTTTTGCTTATTTAAAAAGAAATAAAAGTACAGGGTGTCAAATTAGCATATGTCACTGCTTCAGAAGTTTATCCGACAAGCCAAATCGGAATAAAAGTCCTTAATGGCCAAAGTCTGATTCTCTATTGTATTCGATATTTCACTTTCGTGTTATATAAAATATTTTTTAAAATATTACATAAAATATTATTTCGTCTGTAAATCTGATTATATGAATGAAAAAAGAATTAAAAATTTATGAGATTGATCTGATATAACACTGTAACCTTGTGCAAACAACATACAAAATCAGTTGGGAGATTGAATTCCCCAAGTTCCTGTCTACTTTCATTATTTTTAAATAAAAGTTTCTAAATCTTAATGACAATTGTTTCAACACTTGTTACCAAAAAATCAATTTTTTAACAATAAAACTTTAACATTAGACTGATGATGAGATCTTTGAGAAATTAAATATATGTGTTTAAAGCATCATTTGTAGGGAACTTTACACTTCTAGTCAACGAGGTATCATGAAGTAACCTATTATTTGTGAGAGGTAAGATAAAGCGTGTGTTAATAGGTGAAAGAGCTATTGTGCAATAATGTCTTGACGTAGTAGTCGTCTGTGGGGACTCCACATCAGACGTCTGTTGATGCACAGTCCTCTGTACCTTTAACACAGTTGCAAAGAGTATATTATTAATGTCAACTGGATTGGTGGTTTTGGGTGCAATTTTCTGTGTTACATTTTATTTTATTTTCACATACAAGTCGTGTAAGGTACTGCTGAGGATTTCCAATTGACAAAAAAATCAGAGTTGCTTGAGATTGCGCATCGCCAGCAAAGATCAGGAAGGAATAGAATGTATACATGTATACCCATGGTAGAACGTGGGACTTAGCGCACTACTCTGAAAAGCACCAGCAAGGAGAAAGTAGAGAAAAGATTAGTGGAAGACGCCGACCTTTCGATGACTTCAGTGACGTAGTAGCAAAAGAGAGCAGGTAGGGCGAAGTAGGTAGAGCAAAAACAGGAAGAGTGCCAAACGCGATCGAAAGCCTAGGCCACATCGAGTAAGGTGGCAAAAAAATACTGCTACACTTAAGTGAGTTAGTTAATAAGATTCATAATAAAGTGGCATAACTAGACGGCTGAGTGAGAGCTGCGAAAACCGAACTGATGGTCTGGGAAAACATTTTTACAATTTGAGGATTGAAAGGATACATTTTAAAACAGGCCGTTCTAGAAGGGATTAGGTTACAGCCTGTAGAAAGTAAGCTGACATTTTTCAGGTTTGTGATGGCGTATAACGCGCTTAACATGTGGCCTTTCAGAAGTTATGTTGAAAGTTAGTGTTGTTTTTTCATCGTAGTTAAAGTAACTCAGCAAAATGTTTTCAGCAGAATTTGCGGACCTATGTATCTTTTTGTTGTAAGTAAATATTCCATTGGCTAATAACGTTAAGAACCCTTGTTACGCAATCAAAAAAACATTACTCGGAGCTGAGCCCGCATAATATGTTATCGATCAAATTTCTTATATAACACGTTTGGATCCTAAAGTCTCTACAGTTGTTCATAAATAACATCAGCTCCGCATTGGCATATAAAAAGTATGATGGGAGTGTTCTTGATGTGTAGCAAACAAAAAAATCGAAAGGGTGCTGACTGCTTCATGACAAAATAGCAATATTTCCATCTCATAAGCGAGCAAAGGCGTTTCTTGCATAATTCCGAATTCAAATACAAGGATCAAATGAAAGTTGACCTTTTCATCCGGATAAATAACAATTTGAGGTTTAATTTAAAAAAAATTACTTTGAATTAATTTTCCTGGCGTACAAAGCACAAATGATGTACTCAAAAATTCTTTTAAATTGCAGTTACATCAATTTTTTAAATTGTATATACCGCATGAAAAATTAATTTCATTTTATATCGCTTGTATAATGTTCATTTTTATAAGAAAATGTTTTAATAAATAAAAGAAAGAAACCTTTTCTAAATTTTACCACTGTATTTAAGTCATAAAAAAGGAGATAATGAAATTTTATAAAAATCAAAAGATAAATTTATTTAATATTCATAATTGTTTTTATTTGTAATAAATTTATCGTCCAGCGGAATGACACACTTGTACACACAAACGTTCGGCCAAGTTAGCCAATTTACGTTTCAATTTTTTCATTAAGTGCCGCCATAAGTTGTCATTTTTTGTTTTTTTGATCAATTGAAAACCACGCTCTGTTTTTCGCCGGCTGAGCACAAATCTCGTTTGAATCAATTATGCAGTGGGTGGAGCTGCAGTTGAAAGATAGGGTTAATGGGGCTAACGGATGGCCTGATGTTTGGCCACGGTCCAGGCTATCGAACCTCGACGATTATGCAAGATTCTTGATGTGTCTTATCTTTATAGTATCATGGTACCATTAACGGAAATGTTTTTCAGGCGATTGTATCTTTGAATTGCTCTTTATTTTGTCATAAATGATAGGCTCATTCTGATTTATTCCATCCTACACAAGAATCTCTTCTCGGATTTTGTAACTACTCAACAAAGAAAAAAAATGTAATTGTTTTTAAGGACTATTTTTCTATTAATTCCTTACTGCTTTAAGGCCTAATTTTAAATATAGAGATAATTTATATTACGGTTTCTTTTAAATCATTTCAATATTTATTCACATAGTTAACATATTTTTTTTCAAAATGTTGGTCTTCATTTTCATTAGCAGATTCATGAAGGTCAATTTCATAAAAAATGACAAAAACTTTTTGAAAATCGATTTACAAAACATTAGATATTGTAAAAATAGCGCCCTAGCCAGACACTGCAAAATCTTTCACATTGTCTTTAATTAATAAATACGTTATAGTTTAACTTTTCTCTTCGGTTTAACACAATATAATAAACATTTAGTTTAAAATTTAAAAGCAATGTAGGCAATAAAGGTAAATTTAGATACCTGGTAGAGAGATACGCTTTATATACAGTAATTTTTCGAAGTTTCTGTGTTCATATGTGATGCAATAACTTGATCGCTTTATACACCAATCCTTCATTGATATTAGAATAGTTTAAGGATATAGTTTTGAGCAAATGTATGTTGTATGAAATGTGCTTTCCTCTAGGTTTGTTAAAAAATGTAAAAGGCATAAAAAATTTATGGTTTTTATTTTTTACGAAACGCTAAAGATTTTTGTCCAAAAGACAGAAGTGAAAACCAAATAGCAAAGCTGAGAAGTTCATTGAACTTAAAAACAAGAGAAATTTTTTTAAATAACTGATTGAATGTTATTTGTGCAAAATCTAACTTTTTTATTAACCGATTTTCGAAAGGATTTTGCTAAAATCTTTATACAATCGCATGAACTTGATGAATCTGAAAATAAAAAATGTTAATTGCCATTTCAAAAAAGTTAATTTTTAAATGAATGAATGATAAATTCAATGTTCAAAACTAGAGATTGGAAGTTTTTAAAAATAACCGCACCTAGTGATTTGTTCGAAGGAACCTTAAATCCACATTCGTAAAGTCTAAATGGCTGGTAGATATTGAAACGAAAAGAAGGCAAGATCCTGCAACGAATTTATGACCAGCGATTTTAAACGATTGGATTCCGATTTCACGCTGTCTCGGTAAATGTAAACTAAGGGCTAACCGTTCCTTTTTTACTGGCTATGATACCGTAAAACGATAATGTGGAAAAGGAAGAACATAAAGATAAATACTCTTAATAATGTTGATGTTGTGTGATAGTTCATAGACGAGTTGTAAAAAAATAAAAATGATTTGTCGTCATAATCAACCAAAATTCCCAATGATACATACCATTTGAATGGCTCTATATCGTACTTTTTTCTAAATCAGGCGCTGGATTTTAATCATTCTACATAATTTCAATTAATTAATGTTTTTAGGTGAGATAAAAAAGTGAGTGTCAAGAACGAGATTCGAACCCACAAACTGCCGCTAAATACGCCGCTACTCTACCACTATCGTGACTTCGATCCGGACAAATGAAAAATGGCAAAAAGGAGGGAAAATTCTAAAGGTGCGGTTGAGATGGGAAGTTGGCGTCCGAGTGGATCGAGGTCACGATAGCTCAAGTGTTAGAGTAGCGGCGTATCTAGCCGAAGGTCGTGGGTTCGAATCCAGCTCGTGACACTGACTTTTTTATCTCAACTAAAAACCTTAATTAATTGAAAGATATTAATTGGTCAAGCGGACCACGAAAATTAGTGAATACTACATAATATCTAAACGCTTTATCACAAATTGATATTTTAACATAAAACTAAATTAAATGCTTCTAATCTCAAAATAATAATCATAATGTGAGTATATTTCAATTAAAAAATTAATAAATGTATACTAACCAAGCAAGAAAATTTTATATGGTCACAGTAATAATAAATATCAGAAAGATATAAAATGTTCCACATGTA